TAAGAGATGGAGTTTCTTGGAATACAATGATAGATGGCTTCGTCTATAACGAAGAAGAACGGAAATGCTTTTCCTATTTTAGGAAAATGCAAGAAGGTTTTGCAATGAAACCAGATGGGTTAGCCGTGATGAGTGCTCTTGAAGCCTGCTCTTCAACAATGTCATTCGAGCTTGGCAAGGAGATTCATGGCTATATAATCAGGCAACGGTTAGATTCAGAGGTTAAAGTCAGAGCCTCACTTATTGACATGTATTGCAAGTGTGCCAATATGTTTTACGCAGAGAGACAGTTCAACATGATAACAGAGAGAAATGTAGTCACCTGGAACCTAATCATAGGTGGATACGCTCAAAATGGTCAACCCTACAAGGCAGTTGATTGCTTTACAAAGATGCAAGAGGATGGCGAAGATTCAGATAGTGTAACCATGGTGAATTTGCTCCCAGCATGCGCGCAGCTAAGAAGCAAATCCCATGGGAAAGCAATTCATGGGGCAACAATTAGAAAAGGTTTCACTCCACACTTGGCTCTTGAGACCGCAGTGATTGATATGTATGCCAAATGTGGGGAGCTGAGATTAGCCAAATTGACATTCGATCGGATGGTGGAAAGAAGTCTAGTGACATGGAACACTATGATCACTGGTTATGTACAGAATGAGCAAAATGTAAAAGCCTTGAGGCTTTTCCTGAAACTATTAAATGATGGAGATTTGGAGCCCGATGATTTCACCATCTCCAGCATAATACCTGCCTATGCCGAGATGAAATTCCTACGAGATGGAAAGCAGATACATAGTTATGCAATGAAATTAGGATACGGAATGAATACCTTTGTCCTAAACTCGATCATAAATATGTATGCAAGAAGCGGAGATGTACAAGCTTCCAAAAGGGTGTTTGAGAGGATGTTGTTAAAAGATGTCGCATCATGGAACACAATTATCATGGGATGTGGACTTCACGGGCTGGGCAACAATGCATTAGAGCTGTTCTCAGATATGATAGCAGCAGGTTTTCAACCAGATCAAATTACTTTTGTCTCTTTATTATCCGCTTGCAGTATATCCGGCCTGGTGAATGAAGGCTGGACGCATTATTATTCAATGCAGAAAGAGTTTGGAATTGTACCTCAAATTGAGCACTATGGGTGCATGGTTGATCTCCTCGGCCGCACTGGGGACCTTCAAAGGGCAATAGATTTCATAGAGAAGATGCCTTTAGTGCCAACAGAAAGGATATGGGGATCCTTACTAACCGCAAGCAGAAACAATAACAATATCGAAATAGCAGAGTTTGCAGCAGAACGTATTTTTGCCTTGGAACATGATAATACTGGCTGTTATGTCCTGCTTTCCAACATGTATGCTGATGCCGGAAGATGGGAAGATGTTGAGAGAATGAGACTTCTCATGAAAGAACAGGGTTTACACCAGACAACTGGCAAGAGCACTGTAGAGCTCGACAGTAAGAGTAGAAGTTTCGTCAATGGAGATAAATCTCATGATGATAGTACTACAATTTATCAAGTGTTACAAATATTATCAAGGGAGATAGGAGAAGATGCTGCTGATTCTATTACTGTGTTTAAACCAATAGATAAGACAATAAAAGAAAACTCACCTAGAAGACACAGTGTAAGGCTAGCAATTACTTCTGGATTAATCTCCTCAACAGTCGGAAGCCCAGTTCTGGTAAAGAAGAATGTCAGAATATGTGTTTCCTGCCACAATGCAATTAAATTGATCTCCAAGTTCACCAAGAGGGAAATCATTGTGGGGGATTCAAGAATCTATCATCATTTTACTGATGGATTCTGCTCTTGCGGTGACTATTGGTGATGCTCTTAAAGATTAAAGAAGACAATTTTTGGGGAAAACGTAGATCTTTAAAGATGAACATACATAGTTACAATAAACAACAAGGACATTTTGGATGATACACGAATCAAACAACAGACGTCTCCGTCTAACTGGGCAGCCTTAAGCTAACTGCAGTTCTAAAAGTTCAGAGGTTTAACCAAAACTGTTAGACTGGGTCTACCCAAGTCATAGGCCAGGAAGAGCTGCAATAAGTTATAACTGAAGGAAGCACAGATATAAACCTTTCAACATCAGTTTACAGTTGTACATGTTTTTGAGACTAAAGTTACGACCTGTATGACCATTGTTTATCTAAATCTATACAAAAATGTTACAAAATAAGAACAGCTATTTGTTTGATATGTTGCATCCCCTCCTTCATCTTATTTTCTGTTTTTAATCATGGTTTAGTAAAGTGATTAACATTATCTCATTTATTCTATTTATTATTGATCAAGAAGATACTGATAAATTTTCAATAATTTAGGAATACGAGGAAACAATTTAATGATGTTAGTAGTTAAGTCTATAAATGTCATAGGATACAGTAACTTCTTGATCACACATCATTGAATGAAAGAGGCAAGATGACAGATCAAAAGCATTCAGCTTTCCTCAATCTCCATAGCTAAATCCTTAACGTTGAACAGAACAGTCTATCAAGATGAACGTGGTTCCACTTCAAGAGATTGGAACTAATATGACGGAGAGAAGTTACAAGTTGCCGAGAAAATAAAACACAAATCCTAGGTGCTTGTCCCAACTACATGGGACTGGTATATAGTGGCAAGCAAGAGTTTAAAGTTAACAATCTTTATCCCAATATGGAGTCATGAGAAGCCAGCATTTGGCACACTATTAAACCACACAACTTAACTCATCAGAAAGAAAGGAGAGGCAATCACCAGTTCATTTACTTTCAGATCATGTAAGTCAGTGAGTCTTCCCGGTAACGAAGCGATGAAAAGTACAGTAATGTTAAACGAATTTAAACCATAATATTGCTTTAAGAAAAAACAGGTGATATTTGCAACTGATTATAGTTCCAAGGAAAAAGAATAAAGAAGAATATTTAAACGAACAGTATAACCTTCTTGCATTATGTCAAAGATCAAATTCTGTAGGCAAATTGCAATACTATTAGAAGAAATGAAAAGGAGGTTGAACCCAAAGATAAGCTCTGGTCTCAGAAGAATAAAGTAAATAGTAAATGTGTGAATGTATATATCGCTTGCGCACCCACACATAGGTGCACGGGAGCTCATAACTGAATTGATTGTGGTTGTCCAATCATTTGATCGCACGCACACACATAGCCAACACACATGCACGACGTATGAGTAAGGAGAGTACACATACACATAAACATATATAAACTACGTATGAAAAGGGAGAGCAAACGAATTACAGGAATAACAAAATGGAGTGTTTGTTTGCATGGAGAGCGATTGTTAAGAGTAAGGTTTTCAGTTTTGCCAATCCAGATAGGGAGCACCCAGGGCCAGATCACACTTCAAGGGGTTAGAGTGGATTGTAACATTGCTCTTTTGTCTCCACATCATTTTCACAATGTAGGTTCAAAAAGAAATTCGACTTTTTTACACTCTCAAAAGGACCGCATGAATCTATCTAATTTTCAGCACCAGGCAAACCACCTACAAGCAAACCTGCAAGCTTCAGAACATTGAAGCTAATCCTGACCATCTAGGATTCACATCCAAGGGATTCAATATACAAATTAAGATTCTTAACTTCTAATTATATAATTCAAAAAGATTGAATTTTGAGACAGAAGATTTGCTGACCTCAATAATGCTGCAAAATTAAACTAAACAATTATTTAAATACAATATGGTCTTGCCTAAACGGCAATTTCTAGCCAATCTTAGACTCTCTCACTATGAGCTGCTCAAACCTCAAAAATATAGGGTTTGACAGCAATCCTAAAACCCTAAAGTCCTAAACGTAAATCTAATCCCAAAATCTTCTCACAAATAGCCAAATAAACAAATTTTTTCCATAATTTTTAACCCATATTCAATTGCAAAATAACCAAAACATATTATCCTCGATTAATCGTACATCCAAACATTAAAAAAACAGCGAATACAACAACATTCTATATAATAATAAATAAATAAATAAGTCACCTTTCTTCTTTCATCATCTCCCTCCCCTAATCCTCTCCTCATCCTCAGCCATCTTCTTCCTGTGAGTCTCCGCAAGCTTATCGAGCGCGGCCTGAACCGCATCTCGACCCCCAATCAACAGCCTCGTAATCACCTCCGGGTCTTTCTCGAACCTCGCCTCCTCAAACTCCCTCCTCGCGTTCTCCGCACTTCCCCGCACGGACCGCGGGGTCCGGCCACGTGAAGAACCTCGAGGCACGCGGATGACTGTCGCCGCGTTAGAGACTTAGGGGCTCGCGCGCGTTGCTCGTCAATCGCTGCGCCCGGTGAGGAATCGTCGGAATCATCGTCGGCGGCGATTTTGGTCTTTTTGACGAGGGGGGTCGAGCAGTCTCGATGGTGGCCTTCGTGGAGAGATCGAGATTGGGATTGGGCGAGGGTTGGCGTTTTGATTTTCGGGAGAATTGAGATCAAGGGTTTGCGGAGGGATTGGGGACGAGAGAGGGAAGAGGAGGACATGGGTTTTGTTTTTCGGTTTTTTTTTTTTTTCTCTTATTTTGGTCGATTAATTTCTCGGAACCGATCGGATGCTGTTGTGGGGGGCGCAGGTGTTGGGTTCAATTTCTATAAATTATAAGAAAAGAAAAACATCAAAATATAGATTTTCTTGTATTTCTTAAAAAAACTATAGGAAAAGTTTTGAGGTGTTAAAAATAGAATTTTTTTTTTATACTTTGTTTGTTTGGTTCAAAATAAGAAAACTGGCTCATTACTTTATAGAAGTAGCATATTTATCACTTTACATATGTCAAATTCATAGAAAAGTGTTAACAACCATATTTATCACTTTACAACGACTAATTTAACGGCTATTTTAACGACTAGTTTGGCATATGCTCAGATCTTATAAAATCCTTCTATCATCAACTATTCATGAACACAAAATTTTCACAGGTGACAAACATGAGTAAGAGTATTAGAGACCGTGATGACTCGTCAAGTTCATCAAATCGAAAGGCACGTATTTTGGTTAAAAAAACTACAAATTCTATTACTATTTTTCCAATGGCCAAAGACTTTTTTTTTCTTTTTTGTAATTAGCGTGCTTAGAAACTACCGCAGAAACCAACATATGAAGAATTATTTTCATATACAAATGATGATTGAGAGCATGATGAGATGTGAGATATAATGGAAGAAGCAGAAATAATGCTAAGAACTTCATATGCATTGAAACTATTAAAAGAATACACAACACAAAAGACCTTCATATGCATTGAAGGTTTACTTGAGAACCAAGTCCAAGACATGATGTTCAGATTTTTAGCTTTCTTCCACCAGTAGTTGTGATAGAATAAGCATGGACATTTCATATTCTTCAAATCATAATCATGCTACATGGTCCAGATACATGCAAAAGATTCATGTGTACTCATGTTTCTCTTTTCTACCAGTATTGTGCTTGAGAACATTCAGCCTACATTCAATTGACAAACTTCTGAGCAGTAGCGGGTTGGCTTACCAATTCCAGGTGATTTACCCATTAGAATTGGTTACCAATATATGTTCTCATCTCAGATTATGGATGTGGATATCTAATTTAATCTAATCTTGTTATAACAGTGTGTTTAATGTTAAAATATTTTTTTTCTGAAAATGCTCTCTAAATTATATACATGCATCCATAAATACATGTATCTTATATATGTGTACGTGCGTGTGTGTGCGCGCGTGTGTGTATAGGATGTTAAAATATTTTATTCCTAAAATGACCTTTAAAATGCATAAATGCACCCATGAATTACATATATGCGAACATAAACCATACCCTAACAACTCAAACACATGAATAAAGATACATACATTCATAAACTATACCCCTTCAAATTGTTCTCATAACCCCAATATTATTAAATCATATTAATTAAAGGCTTTAGACTATCGTTTAACTATTCTATACTATAGCTAGATATATACATGCTTATTTTATTTAAATTTTGGATCATAAATATTTTTTATTACGGGGCAAAGATCCTCAAATATCACAACTTCATACTTCAATGGTCCGAACCTAAATCAACCTTAGTTTGTTCAATTCAAGTTAATATAATGCACAGTTGAATAAGACATAGATCACACTCCCTTTAAAAGCAGGGATTTTAGAAAAACTTTTCATGGTCAATATTATCCTTCATTATTTTAAATATTTTATTTAAATCTTAATTTATTCTAATCCTGATTATATCTTATTTTAATCCAATGTGAACTATCTACAGGTCAACAATTTAAAAAAATAAGATTAATAAAATACATGAAATAATCTTAATACTAAATATATATTATAATAATCCAACTTGAACTACTTATAGCTCAACAGTATTGAAAAATAAGATTAAGAAATTATACATAACTAACATATTATAATACATGAAGTATTATAAAAGAAACCCCAAAAGTTTTAAAAATTACATAAAATACCCTCAAAAGATTAAAATTACAAAAAACATCATGATTTTTCAAAACATAAAAAAATAAAAATAGAATCTAAAAATTAACAATAGTCCTCAAAGAGTTGAAATTTTTTAATTAATACATTCAACATTTCAAAAGCTATATAAACAACCTCAAAAGTTTAAATTATAAGAAAGTACCCTGAAATTCTGGAATTTCAAAACTTTCAAATAACATAGATGAATTTAAGGGATTACCATCAGTCAATTAAAAATTAAACATTTGTAAAAAAACAATCAAAGTTATAAAAATTGCAAAAACTCCCTTAAATGTTCAAAATCGCAAAAAGCCTGTAATTTCAAAATTTATAGCCACTACACATTAAATCTAGAAATTATTCAAGGAAGTAAACCCAAAATTCAGAAACATTCATGAATCACTTTAATTGATATTGATAAAAGACATATCTATCAAAGAAGCACCAACTGAATTCCCATTGAATAATATATTGAACAACTTTGTCCCAATTAAAAAAGCATTCTTCATGAAAGATATAAGAAAATTTAGTAAGTATTTATAAATTTATATTTTATTCTTTAAACATTAAAGGAATTATAAAATTAATATAAATTAACATACAAATAATCTTATAATAGAAACTAAAGTAAAGTCATTGATCAACTATGTTGCAAAATATAACGACCCAAATTAGGGAGGAAAATCACTATAATGGATAAAATGTATATACATGACACTTATTTACAATAGCATAAGTAAAAAAAATAACCTTTTCTGTTTCCTGTAGTGGCATGACTTTGCACGTAACTTTATTTGGGGATATAACTAACAATGAATGATTATTTATTGAAGACATACTCAAAGATAAGGATGTAGTAGCACTACCAGTTTTCAAGATCTTTAAATATGAAGGTGACATATTTCATTATTATAATTTTTATTAAAGGCCACTAAACATAAAATTCACTTTATATGTGTCTTTAGGGAAGAAATGCATGTCATCATAAATTGTGTCAATAATATATATCAATTCAAAGATACAACTTACTTAAAAAAATAGGAGAATAGTAAGTAAATCAAGCAAACATTCATATAACACAATAAAGAAAAAATATTATATTTTAAAGCTAATATGATGGGCTCATTCAAAACAAACGGCCAAGGCAAAAACATTTACATTAAGACTCTTTACGATAATATTTATATAATTAGTTAAATTAACTAACTTAATATTATTATAAAAAATTATTAAATAAATAGTCAATTTTAAACATCTTAAATTCGATAAGTAAATAGTTAACTTCGGTTTCACAATAATATTTTAAATAGTTAAATAAATACTAATATAATAAATCTGTAAAAAATAGTTAATTTTAAATCTTGTAAATTAAAATTTCATAAAACATAAAATAAATAATTATAAGAATATAATTTTATTTTCATAATAATGTATTAAATAATCAAATCATTTGAAGATAATAAACATTAAATACATAGTTAATTAAAATATAATTAGTTAATTATTTAAAGATATTAATTATATTGTTTTACTAAATAATAGTTAATTATTAATCATATTTTTCATTATAAAAAATATTATGCTTTAAAAGCAAAAAATTAAAAATTAAAAATTTTAACCTTTATATATATAGATCATGTTGCCGACTAAAAAATAATCGTATATATAAATTCTAGAAAAATTTCGAAAAAATATTAATATAATAGAAAAAAATTAATAAATCATAATTATATATTAAGCAAGTAAATTTAAGTAACCTACATTGGTTATCCAGAATACCTTTCATGTAGAATTCAAGAAAATTTGAAAATCATGACTTTTGCATATAAAAAACACATATAATTTAAGTAACCTTTACTTATAATTTAGTATTAAATTTGACATAAAATTATTTTTTTCATAACTATCTTTGAAATATACAAAGTTCAAAATAAAATTTGAAATTCAAGAACTAAATAATTTAAAATTTTAAAAACCATGAATAAAAATTAAAATTTAAAAATAAAAAACAAAAATTTAAGTTAATTTAGGTATTTACTAATCTCATACTTTCTTCTTAAAGTAATTCCTAAATTTTTAAAAAAAATCTATTAAATTTGAAATAAGTTGAAAAATGGGAATACAATCTAAATATTTTCAATTTAATTAAATTTAGATATTTTCCCATTAATTTCCTTAAATTGTGAATCTATTATATATAAATTTGGCAACTTTAATTTGGTACCATATGTATGACAATTTGAATTTTTTCGAATTTTAATGTTTTTAACTTTCATAATTGGTATTAAATTTGGTATAAAAATGAATTTTCACAACTATCTAAAAAATAAAAAAATTCAAATATAAATAATTTTTTAAAAAATAAAATTTTAGAAATATTTAAAAAACAAAATTTCAAATTAATAGTGCAAATTTTAAAATAAAAAACACAAAATTTAAATTAACTTAGGTATTCATTAATATCTGTAGAACCCCGTAAATTTTTATATATGAATATATATGAATTATTAGTAAATAAATAATTCTTAGTTAATAAATAGCTTGAGGTCATTGATGTACATGATAACAAGTTATTTGAGATGATATGAGAGTATGGGTATAGAGTTTTGTGTGTTGGTTTTGCAAATAAGCAAAACATGCACAAAAACTGAAAATGTCCAGATCAGTCGACACATCAGTCGACTGACTGTATCAGTCGACACATCAGTCGA